TTGGGGGGGGGGTGTCAAGCTGAGGCCGGGTTCGGCGCTGGATATAAAAACCAAAGGCTCGGCTTGATCGGGGTGTGGAGGCGGGTCGGTGGGCGAGGACGTCTACGAGAAACGTTGCTGCAGTCTTGAATATTAAAACTCCTCCTGATCCTCAGCGTCCGGTATGACGAAGCCCTCCTGGAGACAAACGCAGACGGGACACAGTTTTAGGCTCAGCACGACATGTCACTTCCTGTTTGCACTACAAACCAATCATGTGCCGTGCTGCATTATATCAAAAAAAAGTGTGTGTTTCCAGTGAAGAAGCACTTTTTAAATGTGTTTACAGTCAAAGTGCCGACGTGTGTTTAGGATCGTTCCCGAGGAGCTTTTGGAAGTTTTGGGATCGCCTGCGGCCGAGAGCCACAAACGAGTTCAGGAGCGCATTTAAAACATTAATCTTCATAAAAACAATAACGATACATGTGAGTAAATGAAGCAGCAGCGTGGAGGCTGACACAGGGAGCTGCATGCCTCTGCAAGAATCCACAGCAGCTGTTCACACTGCAACAAATGGCACTTCCTGTGAGCACATTTCAGCCAATCAGGTGTGAGGGATGTCTGGTGTGTCATCTCTGAGCTGCAGAGTAAAGATGGATCCTCCGGTTCTGTAATTTTAGCCACGTGATTCATGAGTTAGTGAAAGCTAATCACTCACGTCTGTGGCGTAGAGGATGTCGACGATCCTCTGCAGCGTCGGGTCGCCCTCGCCTTCCTTCTCCTGGCAGATCAGCTCGATGTTCCTCAGCTTTCCAAAATAAAAGTCTCTCTCCTTCTCCATGTCCTGGATGGTGGATTTCAGCATCTCCACCTGTGGACGAAGATAAAGACACCTGATCAGCACTCCTCGCCTCGCCGTCGTCCTTACAGAGGCGACAGTCTGCCCTCTGACCTCATTGACGAGCTCAGCCACCTCCTCGTCGTTTCCTCCCGTCCCCGCCTTCTTCGCACTGACCGGAGCCACCTTGGGCGCCACCTTAGCCACGGGGGGCCTCTGAGGCGCTGAGGAGAAATCAGAAGGTCACCAACACGATCAAAACGTCAGCGCTTCTAAACGTGTCTGTAACCGTCACCCATCTGAAATCTGACCAATCAGACGAGTCGGCTCTTACCTTGATTGAGGGCCTTTTTGGGTGGTTTGTTGAGGGCTGACGTGGCGGGGTTGGGCGTGGGCATGGCGTCCTGCCCCTGTCTCGCCTCCACGGGGTCGTACTCCTTTCCGTCGTAGTTGGCGTCGAAGAACTTCTTGAACCACTGTACGAACTCGAAGTTATCCTGGAACTTCCCCTTCACCAGTTTGTCCACCGGAATGATCTGGAAGAGACGGAGGAATGGCGCCAGGCGCCAGGCTGTTAGCGGCGCTCTGACTGCAGGGTTTACATAAAAACTCAAGTTTCATCACTTTTGTCTCTTTGAGATTTAAAGTTCGACGGACATCCTGTGAGTCCCTCCCTGGACCGACACCGTTAAACCGTCTACAGCAGCGGAGTCCAACTCCAGGCCTCGGGCGCCGGTGTCCTGCTGGTTTTACATCTCACCCTGGGTCAGCACACCTCAATCAGACGATTAGTTCATGACCTCTGTGGACGTTATTTAGCCATTTACATCAGCTGATAACGCCGGCCCTTCGAGTCTGGTTTGTTTCTGCACCAGCTCAGCACCACCTCTCGTTCCAAACAAGCGCCTCGCCACGAAGACTCATGAATTCAACGTTCTCGTCTCCGCCCGTCGAGCTGCAGCTCTTTGGACTGCACACGTCTGAAGCACAGTGTTAAAAACTTTCAGGAAGGAGCTCAGAGATCATCCCGAAAGAAACACGTTTGGATCCAGAGGACAAACTGAGCCGACATTAATGAAGCTCAGTTTGCTAAAAAGACCAGAGAACAGGAAGCTCTAGAAACAAAGAAACTTCCACGAAGGCGAATAAAAGAGAGAAAGTCAAACAGAGACTTTCAAAGGTTTGAGGAGCTTTTTTCAACCCTCAAAGATGTGCAGCGAGCCGAGCACAAAGCCGAGTCCGGTCTGCTGTAAGAACAGGTGTTTGGTTACAGATCACAGCTGTTGGCGAGGGAGCGCCGCGCTCCTCCGCTGCCTTTATGTTTGCGCTGTCTTTAAAGCTTTTAAATAGCGTCAGTAAAAAGAAACACAAAGCAAATGTGCACATTCAAAGCTCGCTGGGACGTTTCCTGAGCCGCGCCAACATGTCCGCACTCCTCTGCTGCTCTAACGGGACCATCACTTCCTGAACTTCATCCTTTATTCATTCGGACTGAGAGCATAAAGTCATCAGGTAAGCGTTTACTGAGCTCAGAGATCGGGAGGGCGCTCGTTTGCGCTCAGCTGCGAGAAAGTGGGCGTGGTGTCGGTGGTGGCGTCTTTGCAGAACAGCGCTCAGAGGCCGAGGGTCAGCCGGGATCAGCCGCAATTCCTTGCGTTCACGCTGTACGCAGGATTTGTGTCCTCGCTTCAGCTGAACGACTTCACTGTGGCAGGAACAGTGTAGCATGTAATTAGCTGTGGATTTCCCACAGAAACCAAATCCTCGCTAATCCTCAGTGATTCACGTCGCTCAGGCCGAACACACCCCTGCTCCAGTTACGCCAATGCTTCCTGCTTCACAACAAAAGACCATCACTAGGAAACCACAGGAAGGAAATTCATTATGAAAACAACCCAAACGCGAGCTTCGACGTGGGCCAATCATCGCAGTAAAAGTGCTTTAAACCACCTGCTCCTGTAATCCTTCATGTTTTAATATAACATCAGTTCACAGCAGCAGGCGTCTCTCTTCATGCTGCGAGGTAAGGAACCAGCGGCGTGATGTACCGCGAGCCAAACGGCTTCACGACAGAGCGGTGCGGTCTGCATCCGTACGAACACGGTTACAGCCGTCAAACAGAAACGTTTAAACACGTTGTTATTGTTGTCTGCATCTGTGAGACGGATGATCTCAACATCTGAGGATTGTGCGTCACCGCCAACAGAAACTCATCAATGAGCTGCATGACTTACTTTGTCGACGGCCATCTTTTTGAAGGCCACCTGCAGAAGCTTGAAGTTGTGGATGTACTCGTGCTCGAGCTTGGCCCCGAACTTCACTTTCTTCAAAGGCACAGAGTTGGGAAACAGCATGTCCATGAACTGGCAGTAAGCAGCACCTGGACACAGGAAACACTTTGACTACAGGCGGCGAGGAAACACCGCGTCAACGGAGGCGTCACACACAAGAAATCAAAACTGACAAACTGCACGTTTGATTTTAGAAATAGCTTTTATCGTCTCTTTCCTGTTTGCTGTGTGATGTGACCCACACAGTGATCACACGCTAACGGCTCAGGATACGGAGACGAGAACAGCGTGAGGCCACAGAAAGGTTAGTGTGACTGAATCTGTTCAACGGTGACCTGAAAGGGTCAGAATAGGGTTTGTAGACTAATTAGATCATGTGATCATCACCTGACGTACGTTTAGGTGTCAAATATGAAGGCGGTCCCTCAGCGAGCTGCAGATTTAAAAGAACGGCACAAAAAGTCCTCGCTTACCTGAGCACAGCATTTCTATCTTGGTGAGGTTCATCTGTAGAGACTCGTTGATCCACACGAGCATGTCATGGCGACTTAAGTTGTCGCTGGTCACTGAGGTCGAGTACACGTTCACAGCCATCGTCGGTCACCTGACCACACACACACACACACACACACACGGTGACCATCACACCGACAGCTCGTCGGGTTGTTACTGTCACTTTAAACCTGCTCGATCAGGACCTCGTCAATGAGGATGATTAGATAAATCCTCTACTCTGTGGAAACGCTGCACTTCTTTTTGAATTAATTTGCTGAAAAGTAATTGTTTTGGTTTGTCAAATTTCAGAACAAAGGACATGAAGTGCAGTTTGATCACAGTAAACTCAGAATTTCTGTTTTTCAGACAAGACAAACAAAAAAAGCACGACTTCCTGTCCTTTTGTGATGGAAACGTATGAAATGTGGATCTGAACCGACTCTTTGGCGTTTGCTCGTACTTGCAGGCCCGTCTGTGGCTCTGCGTCAGATAACGAGCTGCAACCTTCAGCCAACATTTAATCTGCCGCTGAGGACGAGACTGCAGGCACACCCAGATACAAACCTCCCGGATGAGCACAATTTAAAACTCAAAGCATTTTATCTACAGGAGCAGTCGCGGTTTTCTGAGTCGGCGGCAAAAATCACAAACTAAACAGACAGCAGTCCCGACGATGCCTTTTTCAGGTATGTCCTCTGCAGCTGGAGGTCAGTGCTACACAATGTACAGATGTGGTCAGCTGTCACATCTTAAAGGCCAAAACATGTGGTTATTGTAGGAGTCATCTGTAAGCAGCCTTCACACCAAGAGATCCTCTCAGGAGAGGAAGCTGAATGCCATCGATGACCAGCAGAAAATCTACAGCAGAGCAAATGCTCCTGGGCAGGTAGTAAACACTGACAGGTCCATCAGCTGATTTCATTTAGTGACATCACTGTGAATGTTGCTATAAAAACTTGTGATTCAGCAGCAGTGTCATCATGCTTACAGCTGTTTACAGGAAGCTGAGCAGACAGTGGGCGGAGTCACGTATGGTGAGGTACCAACCAGGTGTGAAGGTTAATAAACAGACATCAACAGCCAACAACCATCAAATGTCAGTCTGAAAGTAACAGTGACGTTTTTGTTGGGTTTTTTGTTTTCCTTATCACAAACAAACCATCTTTCAACATTTATTCAAATATTATTCAAATATCATCTCCAGTAAGTGCAGATCAGCATATTTCTCAAAGAAGAAAAGTTGGTTTTATCTTTGCTGTTAAATTCAGATTTTCGTGTTCTTTATTCAGAGGAACAAAAATAAAGTTTTAAAGGTGGGCAGTGGCCCCTGTAGCTGACCAGATGAGGCCGGGCTCCTGAGCTGTGAGGAAGTGACCGTTAGCCACACGCTGCTAACATTAGCGGTGATCACCAACGTTAGGTCCGCGGCTCCAAGCACCGAACGGGTCAGCCTCCGGCTCACTGGGAAGACACTGGCCGAGCTCCGCTATCTGACCGTTAGCTGTGTTAATATTAGAAAGCTCGGTCATCGGCTAAACGCGCCCACACCGGCTGGCTGAGTCAGTCACCTCCCGGACCTGCAGGCGGTCCCCCCGCCCTGAAGCACCGCCCGGTTAGCTCCCGTTAGCCTCGGCCATTATTGAGTCAAACCTCCTCGGATAAGAGCCTTTAATAGCGGTTTAAACCGTCACTGTACCGGCAACTGCCAGAACTGGAGCTCGGCCCCGGGGTGCCCGGTCCGAGGCTCCGGGATCGCACGGTTCTAGCTACATGCTAACACTGAAGCTAACAGAGCGCGCCGCCGTTATCCAGCCGCTCCGGCCGGCTTCAAACCTACCTGCAGCCGGTTTTCTTTCGCGGTTGTCGAACTTGGAGCTTTTACTCTTCTCAGCGGGGAATGTTTCTCATAAAAAAACAACCTGCGCTCGTTTCGACGTTTGTTCCTCTTCTGCTTTTTTCTTCTCTTCCTCACGTCCACTCTACCGGCAGCGGAAGAAGCGATGCGATGACGTCATACGTAAAGGGAAACGCCTAAACGTAAGGACGGCGGACGGAAGCGGAGACGTCAGAACAAAATGGTCTATGGTGAGGTCATTATTCATAAAAAGGATTATTTTCAATAAATTCATCATTCACGACAAAAACATCCTCATATTATAGGAGCAGCGGGTCAGGTTTACGTCACTCAGTGACGTATCGACATCCCAATAACCATAGTAACATCATTTTCCTCCTGTACACACAGACACATGTGCACTCCCACCTCCTGCAGCAGCAGGCCTTCACTCTGCTATCACAGGAAGCTGAATAATGGAAGAACAGCCTAGATTACATTTACATGGAGATTTTAGGAGCTTAACGCCAAATAAAGACCACAAGAGAGAAGAGATTAACTGATTTTACTGAAAAACGGCCACCACCTGAATCTGTTGGTATTAAAGGGTCCAAAGAACCACAGCAAAGTAACCGAAATCTTCATCGTCTCAGTTCGAACTTCAGCAGGTCGTCTTCACCGCGTGTGAGCTGCTGCCACACGATTGGCCGATAAGACATTTGTGTCATGGGCAGTTGAAGAGGCGTACCTAACAAAGTGGCAGGTGAGTGTATTTATTCATGCCATGTCCCCTGCTCTCACACAGCTGCTAAAATCCACCAGGACTGCACACCAATGTTCCCTCTAATGTTTCACGTGTCTGAGC